ATCAGTTAATGAAATCAAATTGCTAGCAAAATAAATAGTATCAACCAGCTTACTCCATTTTGTTTAAAGCTTCCATCTTAGTTGCCTGCCTGACCTAAAATTCACTCCTTAGTGCCTACCTGTGATTACAGTAATGTTCCCATGATCACAGACCCCAGTTTTGTCTCCTTTGGGCAGGTTGTGCTGTTTCCTGCTGACTGTTACAGAACTCCTTAGCCATAAGTTCCATGTAATTGTATGCTTTGTTAACTGAAATCAAATGTTACGCTTTGACATTTTCATATTTTGTTCTTATATTCTGTTAGCAACCTAACCAAGGTAACTCCATTGTGTAATGATTCTTCCTCCTTGTCTCTCTGTAACTACCTTAAACTATATCTTGATGGCAGAACTCCAGGGATTTTCTGGGCACTGGCTATACCTAGGACATGAAATTAATCAAAGCTCCCTAACAATCAAAGTTCCCATTTTGGCTGCCAAGTTGTTAGTTAATAGTTGCTATGGTCACTAAGTTGCTAGGTAGCCAATACTGCAAATTTTACCTATAAAAGCTTGTCACAAACTGCACCAATTTGTCAACAGTTTTCATTTGCCTACTCTTGACCCGTGTGTTAATAAACTAACAATTAATTAAAATCAGCTTGCTGGTGTAGCTTCTTCTGGCTTACTCGGTCAAAACAACAGTCCCACCTGCAGCTGTCCTCTGCAGGGTTTCCCGAGGTCACATTTCCTGTTGCTCTCCCCAGCTTGGGCTCATCTCGGGCATTGTGGCAAAGCCGCTCATGATTGGCACAGAGGGGAGCCTGACATCACCAGGGAAGAGACAAAGGTCCCAGCAGGCTGTCCCCAAATCCTTGTCCACACCCAGGCTGGTTTGGTTGAAAACTGGGAGACTTCCTGAACTGCCCTGAGGTTTGAATGGAGAGACCACCACAGAGAAAGGGACTTGATGCACGAACATGGCAAGGACAGTGTGACCTCACAGGACTATCTGAAGATAATGGCTCCAGCACTTTCCTGGCTTTCTGAAGAAAAGTTCAGAAGGTAGCTCTGACCCTCTGTGGACAACAGACACAGCTGTGGAGTGCTTATTTGTCAACTGCAGACACCTGGACCACTGCACCCGGACACGATAAAGTTGCTAAAAAGGGGTTTCTGCACACGCCACTGCAGAACACACACCATGAAGAGCTGTTGACTGGAAGGAAACCTCTCAGTGGAGCAGCTGGGACCTACTCCACCTGAGCCTGCTTACCTGAGGCGTGGTGATGATCACTGCCCCGTCGATGTGCGCTGTGGCCAGGTACTGGACGACCGAGAGGTGCTCGTCTGATGTCCCGGGTGGGGTGTCCACAATGAGGTAGTCGACCTCGCCCCAGTCCACATCACGGAGGAACTGCTTGATCATGCCTACGGGGAGGAGGCCATGGAGACACTGCTATTCCTCTCCTTATACTTACACTCATACAGCCTGTGACCTTTACACACCTGTGGTCCATGCTCTAAACCAGCAGTTCAACTCGGGTGACACTGCGATGTCTGGAGAGACATTTCTGGTCACCACAGCTAGGGCAGGGGGTGCAACCAGCACGTGGGGATAGCAGGACACTGCTAACAGCCCACTGCATGGCACACAGCTCACACTCATCCAGCACCACACTGAGGATGAAAAAGCCTGCCCTGAACCACACTCTGTAGATTGTCACCTAAAGCCTCAGTCCCAGGTCAACCTGGTGTTGAGCCTGCCTCACACACTTCTCTCTGACACAATAAGCTGTTGTGAAACCATGATCAGAGCCGGGCTCGGTGGCTCAGCCTGTGATCCCGCGCCTTTGGGAGGCTGAGGTGAGTGGATTGCCTGAGCCCGCGGGTTCGAGACCTGCCTGGGCAGCAAGACCTCATCTCCACAATAAATCAAAAAAATCAGCCGGGTGTGGTAGTGCATGCCTGTAATTCTGGCTACTTGGAAGGCTGAGGCGGAAGGATCGCTAGAGCCCAGCAGGTCGAGGCTGCGGTGGCCGGGAGCGGCCACTGCACTCCAGTCTGGGCGACAGAGTGAGACTCCAACTCAAAAAAAAAAAAAAAAAGAAAGAAACCATGATCAAAATAATTTCAGGGCCTTAGTGCTTTTAAGGATAGAACAACTCACAGCAGATAACTAAAATTATAGAGTAGAAACTGGTATTTCTATGAACTGTTTTTAACAGTGAAGAAAGAGGTGACCAATGCTTAAAAGTCACACAGTAGAAACCCACAGGACGAGGTTGCAGCTGTCCTGACAGGACAGGACACGGGTAAAATCCAGGACACTCATGCTCTTGGGAGAATGTGACAAAAGAGAAAAGCAGAGTGGCAAACCGTTTTTCTTTGGTCCCCTCCAGATAACAGCATCATCAGGACTGCTGAGCAGGAAGCCCACCGACATCACGCCCAGATTATCTTCTACGTACTAGAAAGGGGACAGGACGAGAACAAAACATGCTTTACTCAAAACCACACAGTGAGGCCCTTCTCTGTGTCATTTGTCTGACCTCTGGCTGAAGACACCATTTTCAGGACAAAATTACCATGTGACGTATGAGTATATTCACTCTTTGATCCTTAAATCATTTTTGCAAAACAAGGGGATTTGAAAGAGGCACTGTGTCCATGTGCTGTGATGACAGTGAACTCAGCTAATAAAAATAAATGCCATATCCTCAACTCTCTCAACCAGAGGTCACAAACTATAGCCCCTGGGGCCAGATCTGGCCTATCATCTGTTTTTGTAAATAAAGTTTTATTGGTACATAGTCGTGGTACTCAGTTACCAGTAGTAATATTACTACTTTCAGGCTGCAACAGCAGAGAATGTAGGCCCACAAGCTGAAATATTCACTGTCCTACTCTTTACAGAAAAAATCTGCCAGTCCCTGGTCTTAATTGCATCCCCTGAGCCTCAAAGAGTAGTACCTCAGTAAATTCTTGTGGACTGACAAACCACAAACCCATTAAGCACACATGACCCCCACACACGACCTCAAAAATCAGGCAAAGAGGTGAAAACTCACCACTGGAGACCAGCCTGAGCCACTCTGGTGAACCTGCAAGAACACAAGCACCAACATTCATGTGGGAATTACACACCCACCACACTTTACAAAAATATACTGCACAAAGTAAGATACTTTATAAAGTATGATTCCCTGCTGCATGTGGTACCCCTAAATTCTTTTTTTTTTTTGAGTTGGAGTCTCACTCTGTCGCCCAGACTGGAGTGCAGTG